GGAAGTGCTGGACGCGATAGCGAGGGATGTTACTGCCGGATGTATTGACTTGTCAGACGTTATAATTTCGGCACTTATAGCCTGACGTACTGTGACATTGACGGACCGATAGAAGAGTTGTCGACGACGGCATGGGCGGTGGAAGTGGCTTCGATGTCGGACGTTGAGGCCCCACACAAGGCATGAAAGACGACTCAGTTTCAGCTTGTGTGCGATAAGATGCACGCAGGGCTCCTGACAAGCTTTACGACCACGCTCCGTTTCTGTACGCGCCTGAACAGGAAAAGTGGACTGGTCCGCGGCGGAAAGATTTGTTCTCTTCTGCGTCGCCTATAGCATCAGGATCTCCCTTCGTACAATTCGGTGTGATAGTCGTGCAGCTCCTCACTCACTTACAGTGGCTCTTTCCAGTCGCCTTCGAGCCTGTTACGCACAATCAAGACCGATGGCATCCACACAAAGTATGCTTGTTAGCATTGCGGGCTTGGAACAACACATGTCTCGTCATACCTGTGCTACCATGAGCACAAGAATATGTTGTGTATACTGGATAGAGCTGAAGTGCACTAATTCACCAGGATCCGTCAACACTGTTGCACGTCTCTGTTGCCCCCTTCAATTTTAAAGCCAGGAAGCCCTTGCGCAGACCAGCGATGAAGACCCGAAAGTGCATAGAGTCCTAAAGACGAGCGTATGTCGACCGGTGCAATTAGCGTGGTCGTGTGACGGCTGCTGGCTGTGGACTCCACTACATCCTGAATCCCAGACCGAGATTACCTAGTATTGCATCACAGAGCGTGGCTAGAACTCTTAGAATCAGCTCAAATCTAACGTCACACAAGATGAGCTTTTAACAAAGGCGCCCATCTCACAAATACAATGTTCATAGAAGCTATGTCTCTCCACAATACCAGACACAGATCTTCCTATCTGCCTAGCTCTTACTTATACTCATCCGGAGAGCGTTATTGACAAAAGCAAGTAATGGAGTTGCGACATATGGCACAAAATGTGTACATGTTCTAGACTTCAAGGGTCTGAAAACGTCATGACTTCAAGGGTCAGGTCGAAAGGTAAGGAAGGCGATACCCCACCATGTAGCGTACCTCAGTGTACGTACCAACTCCATCCCCACTTCCATCATCATCACCAAGCAACGAGGGACCTCTGTCCGACTCCCAACTCTCGCCATAGCCACCACGATTAATCCGCACATCGCACTGTACACCTCTTCCCTGGATCCCCAATTTGCGCAGCAAAAGGATCCACACTCTCCCCTCTAGTTCATACGCGGTACTCGTCTGCAAGCTAGCATGGTCGCGATGGGAGGTGGTCTAGATCTACCGTCTCGAAATTCATCGAAAGAGAAGGAGCTTGTGCTATGCGCATTGCACTGGCCTCGAGAGTTATGTGAGCGTGGCTTGAAAGCTCTTGGAGAAGCTTTCGACGATGTGGAAGTAAAGTACTTCCAAGTCAAGTGGGATGGTGGCAAGTCGGAGATGAACGCACCTGAAGGTTAGTCGGCAGTAGACATGCACACTTGCAGAGTATTGGTTATTTTTAAGAAGACGTTGGAACCGAAATGATGGGTTCACGCGTTACCAATCAGCCAATATGCGCAATCATCCCTAGCTGATGAGCTTCCATGCTTCCCGCGATCACACTTGTTACACAACATGGCTAATATCATCCCAGAAGACATCAAGCGCGCAACCTATATTGGAACCCTATCCTGGCTCCCGGAATCAGCATCGTCCATTCCAAATACCAAACTCATTCAGTTCTTCTCCGCAGGCACAAACCACGTTTCCAGCCATCCGATCTACACTGACTCTAAGATCCCGTTATGCTCTGCCAACGGCGTTCACGGCCCGCAGATTGCCGAATGGGTCATCATGATGAACTTGGTGCACAGTCATAGCTACACCAAGCTTTATGACAACCAGAAGAAGAAGGTTTGGGACCAGAAAGTGGGGAATAGTGTTAGTGATCGGGTGGGAAAGAGAGTGGGTATATTGGGGTACGGTAGCATTGGTCGACAAGGTACGTAACAACCAGACATACGAGTGAACTACACGATTTTTGTATTTGAATACTGGGCTGACATGAACCAGTCGCTCACGTAGCAAAGGCAATGGGCATGGACGTAATAGCCTACACAGCCTCACCACGCAAAACCCCAGAGTCCAAACACGACAACGGCTACATCGTCCCTGGAACTGGTGATCCCGATGGCAGCATCCCCAGCGCATGGTACAGCGGAACTAGCAAAGAAGATGTGCACGAGTTCCTGAAACAGGAAATCGACCTATTGGTGGTTGCTGTGCCGCTAACGTGAGTTATCCGCCCATTTATGCAAAGCGAGACGATTCAATCAGTTTTCACTAATACATGAACCAGAAAAGCGACTACGCATCTCCTCTCTACTGAGGAATTCGAGCTTCTACACAAGTCCAATCCGAAGGGCACCTACGTTGCGAACATCGCGCGGGGGCAGATCATCGACCAGAAGGCTCTCATTACTGCTCTGGAGAAGGAACATATTGGTGGTGCCGCCCTTGACGTTACTGATCCTGAACCTCTGCCTAAGGATGATCCGCTGTGGGATGCACCAAATGTCCTGATCACGCCGCACTGCAGTGGAGCGTCAGACGCGTATGCCGACCGTGCGTTCCAGTTGTTGATTGAAAACATTAAGAGGGACCGAGACAACGGCAAACTGATCAACGAGGTGAACCGCGAGAGGGGCTATTGAGTCAGCAGAACAGTTTGGACACCAGCTTTGTAGAACGTTCAACTCGAGTTGATAGATCGATATAGGGTATCATAGACGCCCTGGGTAGACTCCAAGTAATAGACCATATGCCTAGTCGTACAAGACTCTCCTGCTTGTCTCAACAGCCAGAGAAACGAGAGATTCGCGCAAACACCAAAACGTCCAAGTATCACCGCCTGAACAGCCCAGAGATCATGCCGCCAGCGAGATTCCTCGCGAGACCCGAACCGTACATGGCATTTGAGGCGAAGCCCGTCGCTTGGCTGAACTTGTCGCATCGGGAGAAGGCGAGGGTATTCGTAATGGTAAGGACGAGCGCGATAACTAAGACGAAAACGTTAGCACACGTCTCTCCCTCTCTCTCTTTAACCCTCCTCCAAAGAACAAGTCTCAACATACCAACAAGCGTCAACCAGATAAACTCCAAGCTGACAAGCGCGACAATAGCTAGCAACACCCACAACACCGGCTGCGCATACAGCGCGAGCCAGAAGAAGCGCTTATCCGTCGCATTGATCTGGCGCCCTGTTTCCGGATCCAGACTCTCAAACACCCAGCGCCCGTCTCCCGTGTTGGCATCGACTTCGTTCCACCAGCGGAGGCCGACGAGGCGGCGGCCGGCGATATTCTTGAGGTAGTAGAAGTCCATTGCGAGGAGCAGGATAGTGATGATGAAGATCATGACGAAGTTTGCGGTGAGGAGGCGGAGGCCGAGGAGGTAGACTAGTAGGGAAGCTGTATGGGCGGGTTAGCTGTGGATGTAATATGGTGCCTGCTGCAGCTTGTAGGTTCGGGATACGTACAGATGCGAAAGGCGAGGAAAGTAAGCAGCGTGATGGGATGGCTACTCAGTCTCCAGCTCAGCGAACCAGGCGCCGGCTCTTGTTGTGCGTTCTCCATGGTGCTTGTGCCGTGTGGGTGTGCGTGGTGCTGGGGGAAACAGTCCGAGATGTGTGAAGATCAGCTTCACGTGGCTTTCTCAGGGACGCGTCGGCGATCGGCGTTTGGGGGGAGCTTTGGTGGAGATGCAGGTGCGACTTCCCCGCACGTCATAGGCTCGCTCCAGTGTCCGAGGTGTGTAACGGGTATATGACTTTCTGCCATTGAGGCTTATACACTTTGGTGGTCGACACAGGTAACCGGAGAGAAGGAATTTAATCTATCCTCAAGCAGAATGGCAGCGCCGATTATACGGAGGGCGTGCATGTACGGTATACCATCACCACTCCATCATTCCACATTCACATACCATACAAGCAGTTTCACCACGTACCATACTAATACACCCCCCAGTGCCCTCCTCCTCAAAGCGAATGCTCGAAAAGTCCTTCGCCATGACCGCCGATAACGTAACCTACGACCTCGAAGACAGCGTGGCCCCGCACATGAAGCCTGAAGCGCGCTCCAACCTCCGCTCCATCCTCAACAAGCCGCGACCCGCCGGCATAAAAGAGATGTGCGTAAGGATAAACAGCGTAGACACGGGCCTCGCGCTGGATGACCTGACCGAAGTGCTCAAAGGCGAGCACCTCGATGCCATCATGCTGCCCAAGTGCGAAAGCGCTGCAGACCTGCATTTCGTCACCGATGTGATACGGCATCTCTCGCCCGACCGACATCCTAGTGCAGGAACACAAGGGAAGAGGGAGCCTGTGCGCATAATAGCGCTGATAGAGAGCGCAAAGGCGATTCAAAATCTGAGTGAGATCTGCGCTGCTTCGCCATATATCTCTGGGCTTGTCTTTGCAGCAGAGGACTTTGCTAAGGATATGAGTCTTACGCGCACACCTTCGCTTATGGAATTCCTATATGCAAGAAGTGCGATTGCGACGGCGGCGAGGGCTGCTAGACTTCCTAGTACTATTGATTTGGTGTGTACGAGTTACAAGGGCGAGCAGGGGCTCAAGACACTGGAGGAGGAGTGTTTGAATGGCAAAGGACTAGGTTTCAACGGCAAGCAGTGTATACACCCGAGTCAAGTCGCGGTGTGTCACAAAGCGTTTAGTCCTGGGGAAAAAGAGCTTGAATGGGCGACAAGGGTAGTCATAGCAGATGAAAAGGCAAGTAAAGCTGGGCGAGGGGCCTGGACATTGGATGGCAAGATGATCGATGCGCCGGTTGTGAAAAAGGCGCATGCGATACTGAGACATGCTGAGGTATGTGAGATGGATGTGAGTGCTGTCAAGGAGACATGGAAGGGACAGGAGCCTGAGTAGCTGCCAATGCATGTTGGCATCTTCATATTATTCTCCTACATGATGACCGTGAAAGGACCGTATGGCTCCGTTCTATACCGTGATCATGACACTGGCGTTCTTGTACCAGCTCAGCAAGGGGTTGTCGCCATTCTTTGTAGTCGTCTCCGCGATATCCGCCCTGCCGGCCATGAAATCTTCGTGTAGGTATGTTCGTGCGAAGCGTCCGGTTATCGACGTGTACATGGGTTCCATGACTTCGAAGTCAGTGGGGAAGAGTATGTCAAAGTAACCTTGGTGCACCTGGGTGTATCAGTAACTGTCTTGTAGCACAACCATAGCAAACTTACAAGAGGTGTCGAAACAGGAATCATCTGCCTCTTATACCTCGTTTGCACAACAGGCGCATTGATACCTTCGACCGCATCGCCCAGTTTATGGAAATCGCTGCTAATCAACTTGTGGTTTGGAAATTTCTCGTACAACATGTAAAAGAACTGCATCAGCCGCGTTGGGATGTACTCCGGCATGCTCATATTAGAGCGGAACGGTACCAAGCTCTTCAGGTTGTTCATGAGTCGCGAGCCTTGCAGCGGGTGTGGGTACGTGGTACAGGCGGCGTGTCTGCGCTCGAGGAATTGGGTGACGAGAGGGTCTATGGTGCGGGAATAGTACTCAAAGAGCTCTCCTCGAGGATCGATGACGACGTGGGATTGATATGGGAGGCCCGTTTCAAAATCGTACTTTAGGGCATCGTGCGCGAAGTTGTCGAAGACTTCCAATGCGAGGAAATAGCAGGGGGAGGAGACGTAGATGTTCCAGTCAAAGACACTGCGGTTGATGATTTCCACTTTATCAGAGTGTCCTCGCGCATATGCGGAATGGCCGAGACCCTTTTGTTGCAAGTCGGCCAATTGACTGGAGATCTCAATGATCTTGAACTTGGTCCGCTCGTATACGTCTGGGTGCACGTCTCTTATGAAGTCGAGAATGTTCAACATCATTGTACCATTACCCGCGCCCATTTCATATATGTTCAGGTCATGGTATGGGTAGAAATTGTACTTGTAGTCCTCTACGAGGTAGCGTGCGATTGCTTCTCCGTAGTAGGGTGAGAAGAGTTCGGTCGGCGTATGCCAGAGCTGGCGCAGATCGTTCGGTTCTTGGTAATCGAGATCGTCTTCGAAAGCGGTGTAGCGGTGCCGCAGCTGCTGAAAGAACTCGTGCTCAGAGCCCATGGAGTTGAAGTCGAATGGATCGCCGGGAGAGAAGATGACGACTTGCTTGGAGAAGTAGCCGTAATTGGGATTGTACAAGCTGTCTATACATCCATTAGTACAGCACTACAACACATATAAGAGTCCCAACCTTCTATAAAGTCGCGCAACAACATCTTGACTCTGCGCGGTCTTTCTCTCCGACTCCGCAGCATGTCCGCTGTGACCATTGGGTATCTCTCAAACTCTTCCGTCCTCTCGTGAGGGAATGCATTCTTCCTCGGCGTCCATCTGCTCTCGCGCTTCGTCTCTCCCTCACCCAGCCGTGTGGCCTTGCCTCGTCTTTGGTGATGTGGTATGCGGGCGCTTGCCAGCGCTGGTCGAGCTCCGCGGGCAAGACATTGCGACGCTCGATGCGAGAACAGCTGGCGAAAGAGCTGCGTGGCGAGCGGCGAGTCCATTGGCGCCAGAGACGATTGTCACGAATGCGTCGCGACAGCAGTGGTAGCTGTGGTATTCTCCGCGCGAATGCACGTGGTGAGCTTTGCGGGCAGCCGCGCCAAGACGGGGATACCACACAATTCCGATTGCGTCAACTTTGCAAACCGCACGCCACAACTCCCCAACTTTTCACAATGTCAGATCGCTCCAAGTACTATATCTTGGGCGCTTTCCTGTTGGGGATTGCTCTGACAAATGTATACAACAAAAAGAGGTTGATAGAAGGAACGGATGACGAAAGTCAAACTCTTGCACAGCAGCAAAAATGGCTATCGCAACTCGCAAAGGTCAATGACTTGGAAACGCTGAAGAAGAGCCTACTGGAATTCGGTGGTGGGCAAGGCGCAGTCAACATCAAGGAAGGCATTGAAGGATGCATAGGCGACACGCCCCTCATCAAAATCAAGTCACTTTCCGAGTTTACGGGATGTGAAATACTCGCAAAAGCTGAGGTAGAAATCTTACATGCATTTGCCTCAGATGTTCGCTAACGTGAATTGACAGTTCCTTAACGGAGCTGGCAATAGTCCGAAAGATAGGGTCGCTCTGAGCATCATCGAGATGGTAAGAGAATATTCTGCTCTGCCTCCCGTTTATATCAGTCATGATTGTTGAGTTCCATACCAGGCTGAAGAGAGGGGTCTTTTAATCCCACACTCTGGTGACACCATCTACGAAGGCACTGTGGGGAGCACTGGCATATCGTTAGCCGCCATTTGTAGAGCAAGAGGCTACAAAGCACACATGTAAGTCATCATCTGAGACACGAGTGTGCTGGCTGACAAGCGAAGCTGCATGCCAAACGACATGGCAATCGAGAAGTCAGATCTCCTCCTGAAGCTTGGTGCCGAAGTAGAAAGAGTGCGCCCAGCGCCTATCGTGGATCAGAAGCAATTTGTCAACCTCGCACGATCGCGAGCAGAAGAGCACACTGCAAGTCCCGACAAGTCAGGGAGAGGACTGTTTGCCGATCAATTCGAAACGGAAGCCAATTGGCGCGCACACTTCACTGGCACGGGACCTGAGATCTATGAGCAAACTGGGCGTCGCGTGGATGCCTTCGTCAGCGGCGCTGGCACTGGAGGAACCATTTCTGGAGTAGCCTTATTTCTGAAGTCCAAATTACCCAATATCAGGGTCGTCCTTGCGGATCCCCCTGGCAGCGGCTTGTTCAACCGTGTCAAGTACGGTGTTATGTTCGACCCCAAAGAAAGAGAAGGAACCCGGCGGCGACACCAAGTGGACACCATCGTTGAAGGGATCGGCATCAACAGAGTGACTCACAACTTTGATGTTGGCAGAGAGCTGATCGACGACGCCATTAGAGTGAACGATGACCAAGCAATTTCCATGGCGCGCTGGTTGGTTGAGCACGACGGTATATTTGTTGGAAGTTCTAGTGCTGTGAACTGTAAGTTGTGAAGCGTTCAACAGTGGACGGTACTGACTTATTGAAGGCGTCGCTGCCACGAAACTTGCAAAGACACTTGGCCCTGGACATCGCATCGTCACCATTCTATGCGACAGGTAAGACAATATCTCAAGGTTCCGAGCATGTACTGACTCCTTCATAGTGGCGCAAGGCACTTGAGCAAGTTCTGGAAAAGTACCGAGCCAGTTGGTGGCGCAGAGAACGATGTGTCTCTTCAAGCCATTATCGATGCTTGAGACACTATCTCGCTAGTGCTATCTGCCTTCAGATACTTTACGCATCCGAAGACCTTCGATTCGATTGACAGAACCACAGCTTTGGAAAACGAAGAATTTTGACAAATTCGCCGTTGATCGTATCCGAAACCGAGCTGTACAGCAGCGTTCAGACCATGAAAGATTTGCCAACGCATCACAATATCAGCCAACACGCCACCACATCCTCAACAAGGGTGATCAGCCCCTCGCCTTCAACAGCTACTATCATCGCCACTATGGAATGCGCGACATTGTGCGGCAACAACCTTCAACCACCCACGCGGAGACAATGAACACGTGACACGAGAAAGACAAAGGTTCTACTCTTCACGAGATACTAAGAGTCAGAAGAGCAAGTCTTGAGCGGCGGTGTCTTAACAAAGAGCAAAGCTCCAACAAAACTCATTCTCTTCTGACAGCCGCCACGCCCGTTTGTGTCGCCTTTATATACCACGGCGACCCCTCAACCCTGTATGCTACACACTCCGGCTGGTCCATACCAAATATTGTCGCACACGTCCTCCCGCAGCAAACTTCTTAATTCAGCAAGCATCGTTACCTGACCAGAACTCCTTTACCAAACGGACATATGCCTCACCGACGCATGAGCGATACAAACGGAATCAACAAAGCAAAAAGCCCAACATCAAGCATTGTGCAAAGGCGAATAGCAAGGAAGATGTCACCCTGGAATCGCAACCCAGCTCTTGCGGACAAAATCGCCGAAATGCGCCTCACCATCGCTCCCATAGTGCACGTCGAGACAGGAATTCCAGCCCCCGAATTCCCCTCTACAATGCTCGATCTTTTCCTCCTCACCGAAGCGCAACTCGACGCTCTAGCCACCTACTATTCTCAGACCCATTCAACAGATCTCACAAGCCAATATCCACAGACAATGAACTGGCAGCAGCCGTTCTTAGATGCTAGCGACACCTTGCCAGAAAATTGTAAATTAGGCGAACTGGAACGGTTGAAGATCAAGATGAGGATGTTTGCGAGATTTATTGGTATGAGGGGTGCGGATACGCCGCGCTGGGAGTATGATCGTCAGATTGAGATATTGAGGAATAAGATCCAGAGGAGGATTATGGATGAGGAGGAGAAGGTGTTGCGGAAGTTTTATCAGGGGCCTGTTAGTAGGTCGTGAGGGGTTTGAAGGGCGCTGGGCGTGCTTTGAGTGCTGGTCACGCATGAGGATGAAGAGAGGTTGCGATATTGTGGGAGCGCTATTCTAATGATCTTCGTACGTGGCAGCAATACATCTTCTTATTGTTCGCGTTTCTTGCCTCCAGACTAGTGGTTGGTCAGGTTTAAATGTGTTGTACAGCATCATTGTCAGCTTGCCGATTGGAGGTGCTTGTCGTAGGGTGTCAGAATTTCATACAACGGCGCACCTCGTGCAAAGTAAGAACCGAACGCCCTGAAGTCTATGTTACCATAAAAACCCAAGTTTGCAACACGCTAGGGCAATGTAGCCTCATCAGCTTTTTTCATTGTACTTTGTAGGGGTGGATGTCTAATCTGTCCCTTGGATGGGATGGGCGCATTGAACCGTATCATGAGCAGTGTTTCCTACCATACCATGCCCTTGAATCTGCAGCCATACATTGGTGGGATGTTAAATCGGAGTGACTCTTGTAGGACCAAATCATTATCCGTGGGTTGTGGGTTCCAAGAACCACGAACCAGAATAACTTCTGTATGAACCCTGCATGAATGCTTCTGACATCTACATTTACACGCCTCAATTCTATACTCTCAAAAAAACTCCACGTCACCATGAAGCGATCTCACCCGAATGCGTCAAAAGGGTTCACATCTGTTCATAAAGCAATTCAGCCTTCAAGTTCTAGAAACTAACTCCTTCATCGTGAAGCTCCTTACCAACATCCTCGGTGTTGTCTTGTGCAGTGCCGTTGCAGTCACTGCGCAGACATCCAACGAACAGCAAGCTTCCACCATCGAAGCTCCGGAAACCAATCCCAGTGGCCACGTATCCGAAGGCAAAGCCACCACCAAGGTACGATTGGAGAGTAGATCTCAGCAGTATCCAAAGTCTGACAACAAGTAGTGCGCGAGAGAATGCGTTGGCCCTTTCTCCTACGAAACCGAGGAGGAGTGGTACATGGCGATGAAATGCTTGGAAACATGCGAACTCGCCAAAGAAGCAGAAGTATACCTCGAAGACTATGGTTTGTCCAGTGCCCGTGTTGTGCCGTTGAATATAGTAAGTTCCAAATCCTACTCTTACCATACCACATCCTTGGTAGCCTCACTTACTCAACACAGGCATCCGACATGGGCAAGTTCCAAAAAGCTCACGATGAGGAACGTCGTCGTTTCTACCCGTGAAATGCGAAAGAGCCTTCTGGTGGTGCATCTTGCGTTGATGGAGGATTGAAGTAGGGTAGAGCGGCTTCTCCAGATCATTTGTAGTACCTCGAGGGTGGTGATTGTCCAGAGCAACGATAGCTGAACCTACATATCCTCCTGGATCGTGCAACGCACCATCATGCATGTGAGGCCGTGTACGTCGACGGCAAAGCTGATGATGAAGAGCCGCGGCCGAATTGATCACCTCACGCTAGTCCTCCGGTAGAACTATACCTTTTCCGTCCAAGTACCAACCCCCAACGGCACGGGAGATCGACAGAGCATCGGCAAAGCTTCGCTCGCGTTCGCCCATCACTCACCAGCACGTCGCCAATACTGCTCCTTCCCCCCTCGCGATGCGCCCGAGCCTCCGGGTTCTCTCACGCCACCACGAACGCCCGCAAGCATGCCACCACGCGCGCGTCCCCGCCACCGACCCTTGACCATCGCAACCATCTGTGGTACTGCATCGCTCATTCTACCCACCGTCACGCTCATCCGCCTCTACACCATTTCGCAGCTACCCGTATACTCGATCATCTACGCCGGTTTCATCAGCGGAGTAACGTTTCTCTTCTATGGCTACGATAAGATGCAGGCGCGGAATCTGGAGTGGAGGGTCAAAGAAGTGACGTTGCATACACTGGCGATGGTGGGAGGGTGGCCAGGAGCATTGGCAGGCATGCACTATTTTCAGCATAAGACGAGGAAGGTGAGGTTTCAGGCTGTGTTCTGGGGGATCGTTCTCGGGTGGGAGGGTGTCGCGTGGCTGGTGTGGAGCGGTGGGGTACACGTTGGATGATGAGTGATTGAAACAAGTCTACCAAGACGACGAGGAAAGATTTCATTAGGGATATGGGAGGCCGTTATGAGAGTCATGACGGTCGTGAGAGTTCAAACCAAACCTTCCCGGATGGTGTACAAGGAAAAGGCCACCATGAGAGGAGCCACAAAGGAACCACCAAACGCCTACCGAGGGTACGCCCAACATTCCCCTTCTGCTATCATGTCGCTACTCCGATTTCTTCCAGACGTCCCTCTGAACCGTCTCCTTGGATGCGATGACCGACCCCCGAAGACACTCGAGCAATGCCCTCAGACACGCCTTGACGGCCTCCTAGTGGAACCGGTCCGAGATCTTCTTCGATACGTCCTTGGTTTGATCCCAGACTTGGGTTGCCGTTCGGACTGTACAAAAGAAGAGGCATTAGCGACCAGTGAGCGGAGATGTGAGTCTATCAGCGCTTTCACCAGCTTGCTCTCCAATGGGGTTCTGCATGGCGCCGCCCGCGAGGTTGCTGATGCCTTGCTTGAGGTTCTTGACGTCTTCTTGGTCGGAGGTGGGAAGCTTGTTGATCTGGTCTGGGAGATGTCAGTGTTTGCTAGGCAGTCTTTGGGAGTAAGGAGAGACTCACCCTTGGCCATGTAGGACATCTTGTTCTCGCCCATGGTCTGGAGGGCCTGCTTCTCCATCTTGCGCTTCATCTCTGGGGAGATACCGAAGAAGTAGAAGTAGCCGGCGGCCAAGGCGATCAAGCCAGCGAGGATGGTGAAGATGCCGATAGCCATAGTGGAGATTGTGCGGTTGCTCGTTTATGCGAAGGAGTTTGTATGGGAATCGGAGTGTAGTGCTGCTGTAGAGGAGATCTGGTAGAATAAAGAAGTGATGTGCGTGGTATGGTGGGCGTTTGTCGATCGAGGCCCAGATTATGTAGGTGGAATGGGCATGACGTAGGAATTCCACATGCAAACCTGCCAGCCTTGCGACTGCGGTACCAAACGAGCGGTTCCTTCTTGGCATGAACTGGGCCCTTCCTTCTGTGGCGCATGCGTTCCACAAACATTGGAAGGGTCGCGTCTTCCTGGTGCACCAGAATTATACTGCGTATGCAATCGTGTATTGTCTAGCGGCCGTTAGTCTCGACATGGTAGCGCAGAATGCCAGGAATGCTAAGAGAGGTACGAGCTCTTTCGTACTATGAGAGGCGTTTACTATTCGGCTCTTAAGATATATGATTGAGAAGCTGCGAGCAGATAGATGTCCATGCTTTGCGAGTCAAGATGACAGTGACTGGTGCCACACCCTGTTGACCCTGTCCGACGCGTGTATACTGCAGCAGAGCGTGCATGTAATGCCCGCCCGTTCATCTGATAGTACGTGGTAGCATCGACCTGTGTTCAATTGAGCCTGACAAATGTGGCATGGAGAAAGCGTTGAGGGCTGCTGCTAGGTTTTGAGCCATCCGCTGGCGCTGCGCCTCAAACCCTGGAGGCCGCGAGGCGGACACGAACGTCGAATGCGCCTGCCCCACAGCCAGGCTAGGTGCTACTCCAGCAAGCCTTCCAAGACGCTCGACCTTTGTTGCTGACCCGATCCAATTCTGTGCCTCCTTTTCACGACTTTCCTTTGCAGCCTTGCCTTTTCCTCCTACGACAGCATTGCTACCTAACTGTTGTTTCTTACCCCTCACCCACCCCCACCACCAGCTGAACGCGCCTGATAGGCATCCCAAATCTCACCCTCAGCCTGAGACGACGCTCGCGGCAGTCATATAACTGCTTACCAGCTCGCCCATCATGAGTTGTACTTCCCTCTCTGCGTTGCGCATTACGATATTCAAGACTGACTGCTGGTCTAGTGACAAACATGCTCAACAAGCTGCACGGCCAGCCCGACAGCTATGATCGCAAGTCTGTACCCTGCTGCCCTGCGCCCCGACGTGTACTGAACATGCCACTCACAGATCACGATACCGTTTCGGAAAGACACTCGGCGCCGGAACCTACGGTATCGTCAGAGAAGCTGACTGCCCCGAGGGCAAGGTCGCTGTGAAGATCATCTTGAAGAAGAATGTGCGCGGCAACGAGCAGATGGTGTACGACGAGTTGGAGATGCTGCAGCGCATGAAGCACCCTCACATTGTCAAGTTCCACGATTGGTTCGAGTCAAGGGTATGCGCGACATGGGTCTCTTCTACGGGACTGTGGAGCTGACACCTGCCAGGACAAGTACTACATTGTGACCCAATTGGCGACCGGAGGAGAGCTGTTCGATCGCATTTGCGAAAAGGGCAAGTTCACAGAAAAGGACGCCGCTGAGACAATCCGACAAGTACTCGATGCAGTCAACTACCTCCACAAGAACAATGTCGTTCACAGAGGTATATCCTCCGCCTCGAATGCAACAACAGAAGCTAACTACTGAGCAGATCTCAAGCCAGAGAACCTGTTGTACCTCACACGCGACGCAAACTCCTCCCTCGTACTTGCGGATTTCGGTATCGCCAAGATGCTTGACTCGAAGAGCGAAGTCCTGACCACCATGGCTGGCTCGTTCGGATACGCTGCTCCTGAGGTCATGCTCAAGAAGGGCCACGGAAAGCCCGTTGACATGTGGTCCATGGGCGTCATTACATACACACTTTTGTGCGGATACTCGCCGTTCCGGTCAGAGAACCTTGCGGACCTGATTGAGGAATGCAAGAACGGTCGCGTCATCTTCCACGAGCGCTACTGGAAGGAAGTGAGCCCCGAAGCCAAGGAATTCATCAAGAAGCTGCTAGAGCCCAACCCAGATAAGCGACCAACCAGTGAAGTATGAGCAGGCAGTCACCGTCTGTTGAAATACACTAACAATACTAGTCCGCCCTCAAGCACGTTTGGCTCAGCGGAAGCACTGCTACAGACCACAACTTGGTGCCAGAGATCAAGGCGTACGCGGCAAAGGCCCGCCTCAAGCGCGGCATCGAGCTCGTCAAGCTTGCCAACCGCATCGAAGCGCTCAAGATGCAAGAAGACGAGGAAGAGGATGTACCAGGAGAGGCAGACGTGCCCGCCAACGCCCGCGAGGCCGCAGGCGAAGCCATTGCATCGCATTCCGAGGACAAGAGTTTGGCAACCAAGGAGAACGCAGACACAGGCAAGGGACCCGGACGCCTAAGCAGAATCGCAAAGGGTGCCATCTTCCGGGAAGTTGTGCTAGCCAAGGTGCGCGAGATGAAGGAAGCGGAGGCGCGCGCAGAGTTCGAGAAGAAGGCGTCGGAGCCGGCGCAGAAGTAAGAGGGGGTTTTTGAACGACTTTCCTTGTTTCTGGCGTGATCCTACAAACATGTTGAGTTTGCTGCAGTATTAGCGGAGATCTCGTTTCCCAAGTATACCCCTGGAAGATAGCGACCAGGCCCCACTACCTAGAAACAGTTGATGGGTGATACATTTATGCTGCTGTTTGAAGCGTGATGCTGCAAGTGGAAAGCGTTTACTATTTGTCGCCGGCATGGTGTGGTGAAGGACGCATCTGGTGATGCAAGCGGACCGTGCGCATGTGCTTGGCAAAACTGGGAAGCCTAGATTGAACACTGCGGCGCGTCCACCGGGTTGACGACGGAACGCGCATTTCACTGCACCGCCGCCACGATCCTCAGCCGCCTCGAGACGCTCGGCAAACCACTCAGACCGACTACGCGATCACGAATCAACCGGAAATGGAGAGCGCGGCCAAGCGCAAAGCCGCGAGTGCTGCAGCGGGTGACCACGACGGGCGCCCTGCGAAGCGACAAAAAGGGACGGTACGTGCAGTCGGTGGTGGTGGGTGATGCATCGTCGGCCGTGTCCTGGAGATGCACGAGGCGTGATGGGCGCGTTGCGGGATGCTCCTTAGGCCAGGAGCGCGACACCTGGGGGTTCGACGAGTAGGCCATCACCGCCGTCGGCCCCTCATCGCTCCCTCAACACCACGCGCGCGCCGGCGATGCAGTCAGCCATGGGGGCAGTCTGCTCAAACAACAATGGGAGCAATGCTGACAGAAGACCGCTTCCGTGCAGGCCGAGACGCCCAATTCCAGATCAGAGACGGTCGAGTCGACCACGACGGCAGGCTTGAAGTTCCTCGACAGCTTGAAGCAGGCCAAAGACAAGACGTACGTGACGCCCTCTCACGCCTGTCACATTGGCAGCCTCCATACTACCCAGTGTGCGAACTTAGGAAACCCCTCTGACAACTTGCAGCGGACGTCCCATCGCAGTCCACTTCCTTACTCTTCCCGATAAGGTATGTCCCAATTGCGCTGCCTACGTAGACCAGATCCACTGACAGTTGCATGTAGGCCGAGGTGCCTGACTACTACGAATTCACGAAACTGCCTATCGCTATTGATACCATCGAGAACAAACTCAACAACGGCGAGTACGCGTCCCTAGCTCAAGTCGAAAGCGACTGCAAAAGACTGGTCAACAACGCAAAGGCCTTCAACGACAAGAACTCCGTCATATACCAAGATGCCGAGCGCCTACGCAAGACCGCCTCCAACTGGATGGTGAAGCACAACCCCGCCTACCGTGACGGCAACTATGTCGCAACAGCCACCCCGATCCCGGGCGAAGACAACTCTACCCCGTCGAAACCTTCCCCTCGCGTTACCTCAACACCAAGAACCGCCCACACACATACACCTGCTACACAAGATACAGCCGACCGCCCTCGACGAGCGGCCGCTATCGCCGCATCGGCCACGCCAGCACCGTCAAAACTGCGACAGTCGGCGTCTGCTGCGCTGGAAGATGACGACGATAGTGCTGAGTACGAAGGGAAGACGTTCCAGCAGGCACAGGAGCAGATCGTGAGGGAGATTATCGATTATGAGGAGTAAGTTGCATGCTTCGTGCTAAAGTACCAGCCAGCTAACGCCCTTCAGCCAAGGACTGCAGATATTCCTACCCTTCCAGAACCTCCCGTCGCGCAGCTTGAAGGACTACTACCAACTGATCAAAGACCCCATGTCGCTGGCCGCCATACAGAAGAAGGTTCGCGGAGTAGTGGGACGTGAGGCTCCGACAGGCCATACATTGTTCAAGAGCTGGGACGCTTTCGAAGAAGCTTTCAGTCTGATTTGGAAGAACGCTCGTATCTACAACGAAGATGGTAGCGACATCTACAACCTCTCGCTCGAGCTTGAAGTACGTCTACTGTCTGCATGCTCTCATACCTGAGTACTGACCAGCATAGGAAATCTTCAACAAGAAACTCGAAGAAGCCAGATCCAAAGTCAGCGAGCCAACGCAACCGAAGCTGAAGCTTAACATGTCCAGCGCCGCAGCGGCCCCAAAACAACAGCTCAAGCTCAAGCTGAAGCCGAGCCCGGGATCAGAGCGCAACACTCCAAGTGCTCGCGATTCTGCGACGCCCGGCGTCATTGTTGATAACGATGCCCTTCTGCGACAACAACGACATGTTCTTGACAGCGTGGGCAACCGATTATCTCAGCCTCCACCTGGGAAAGCCGGGACGCCAACTGCACCTGCCAATCCGTTTACTGGACCGAGAGGTGGTGCTGCGACGATTGCACCACTCTCCGCCGCCCAGAGCAAAACTGCAGGATCTCCGCCGGCAGTCAATGGTGTTAAGCAAGATGTACAATCACCTGCCCTGAGTGCTATCAGGCCGGCCAGCACCGCACCGGATAGTCAGGCTGCACGACTCAGTGTACCAGCGCAGACTCCACACCCGAGCATGGCCCCACCGCAGAGTGTATCTCGCCAGGCAAGTGGCAGTCCACATCCGAACGGTGTTGGGCTGCAGAATGGAAACCACGTTCCTTCATTCCAAACGCCAACCTACTACGCGCCTCCACCAGTAGCCCGCGTAGATAGTTTCAGAAAGGTGCCACTCAAGAGTAAGTCTAGCACTCCCGATTCAATAGATCCTTCACTAACACAGGCAGGCGTCGACGAAGCACTAATACCCAAAATCACGCTCAACACTCATCCAGCGCTTAACCCGTCGAAGCCATGGTCCACTAGCATCCTGGCAAACAAACAAAAGACCATGTACAGTGCCACAATGGTGGTTGCGCCATCCAACTCTTACATCCAAGTTGTACCCAAGGTTCCTATTGCGCTTACAAGCCGGATGTACCGCCTCTTCGTCACCGTGAACGGCAACAAGACACTCGAAGCAAATCGTGTTCCTGTCACAGCAGGCATCAACGGCACAAGCCCAAGTCCCAGCTACGAGGGCGGTAAGAAGAAGGGCGAGCCACTCTTCGAAGCGAAACTCGTAGCTGGCGTCAATCGCATCGAAGTCGAGATTGTCGCAGAGAAAGAGCGCAAGGGTCAAGCCGAGAGCGGCACTGCGAAGAAAGAGGATGTCGAGATTGAAAAGTGTACAATATTTCTGCATTTGCCTCGGCAACCGACGAATTAGGCATCCGACGACTTGGACCGGGCAGATTCTGAATACAAATGGTTGGACTCGCGAGCGTTGTGGTAATACGCTGATGTGGTTTTCTTGAACGCTTAGGGTACTGGCGTTTACCATGGCGGTGGCATTAGCATCAGGATAACAGGAGTTACGGTGCGTGCTTGCTTTTATCTAATGGCGGGTATACCGAAATTGGGGCGTGTTGTCAAGCTGGGAGAATGGGACTGAAGAACCGAGGATTGAGACTATGGAGTGGGAGGAAGCGCGATGGACATTCCGCGTTGTAAGAATAGGGCCTTGTCGATCGAGACGTGCACATCTATCTACTGAGTTTCTTTGAAACAAATCAAATATTCGAAATATGTAGGCTCCGCGCATGGGTCCATCAAAAGTGCATGTGGTGCGTCATCTAGCAAACTACATTCACTTCTTTGGGTATGCTGCACCTTCCAAGCCTCGTTTTCTAGCCTACGTGCATATCTCGGGAGCCGAGCAGAGATTTGGACTAACCCTTCGCGAGAAATGCAACGTTTGATATGCAGTCAGCATATCCGTGCATCTGCAGCTTCGGCACTCCACACGCTTGCCGTCGTCCACCCGAGGATGCACAACGGCGGGCGGAACATAAAAGCAACGAGAAACTCGACAGACACATAAAGACCCAAGAAATAGCGTCTTTCTCTCCCGCAAGTGGATCATAACCAGCACTCATAGCCATGGCCTCCTCATCCCCCACACCCTCACCAACGACCGCCCAAGTGCGCCCCAAACCAGGCCTCCTCCTCGTACACCCCCGCCTTCACGACCCCACCCCATCTAATGCTACCACATTCCTCCGCTGGACGAAATTGCATTTCAGAGATCTACTCGATATGCCTGATACGGGTTCTGGGCACGTCACACAAGACTTGCGGTTCGTTGCGCCGGAGGGCGATGAAGCGTATACCCACAACAAGGAAGAAGAAGGAGAGGGAAAGGAGATGCTACCAAAGTACCTGTACACGTGTCTAGTGAACGACATTGCATGTTTGAAAGGGGAAGCGTATGCGGCTGTCAGTCGTCAGTTGAACTTGGAAAAGACAAGGGCGTTAGGGGAGGGAGAGGTGGGGGTAGGATTTCAAGAAGAGCAGGGAAAGGAGAAGATGGTGTTTGATATTGTGGATGCGAAGTTTGCTGTTTACGAAGAAGTTGGAGGAGGAGGAGGAGGAGGAGGTGAGATGTCGTTTCAACGCCTCCCGCCGCATCTCACTTCGCGAATGGGCGCAGCACCGAAATCCGTGCTTATTGCCGTGTATGGAGATGTTTCACTTGAAGTTGGGGTAGATCGTGATACTGTGCCACAGATTCTTCACGACTCTCTCCTTGCTCGCTTCAAAGCTGTTGTTCCGCCGACTCTTACGCCGTACTCGTCATTGTATAAATGGGCCGGGGTGGAGGCGCAGCCAGATAATCATCCATTGATTGGTAAAGATGGGAGAGGAGAGTGGATGGTGCTGCTTTTGTTGGTTGATGAGACAGGGGAGACGCTGGTTAGAGGGCATGCTGTTATGTTGGTGGAAGGGTGGGTTGAGGAGGAGAGGGGAAAGATGGGGGTTGGGGGGATCGAGTTTGGGGTTTGGGAGGGGGAAGTTTTCATGGGGTAGATGGGGATTTTGGGAGGGTTTTGTTGTACTCGGTTCAAAAAGGAGAATGATAACGCGTTAAAATACTGGCTTTAGCTATTCCCATGTTGTATTTGTCTTCGGTGCTCAATATGTGATATACGCGGAAAGTAGGGTGTGATGATGAGTCGTGGTTTCGAGCCGATGAATCCATGAGTGTCGGTTAGGTATGGTAGGTGACATCATCCCGCATCCGCATAGCTGCCTGGACACACCGCCGTAAGTACGCTCTTTATTGTTCTACCTCCCCACGCCCACAATGAGAGCCTGGGGTTATAACACGTCACCAGAACCGGAAACCCTCACAGCCTTGTCAAGATTAGAGAACGGAGTCTTTGATGTTGTGCCAAAAGTTGACTGGCAAAAGTCCATGTCAGTCGCATGATGCACTACTTCAGGTATTACATGCTGATACTAAGTAGCGCAGAGCGCAGTGCAACTGAATCGCCTCTACTCCGTCTACCCCGCGAATTGCGCGATCTCATCTGGACCTTTACCCTCACAACAACCGTACAACCGTGGAGGACGATAAAACCTCACGGTTCTGCTTTCAATGTCCTCCAAGTATGCCGACAAGCCTACACCGAGGCTATCAGCTTGACTTATCCTTTCATTACCTGGTCTTTCATCTGTATGAGACACTACGAAGACTTCTTCTGGAAAATACGCGATGGAGCAGCGAGGAAAAAGGAAAGCTTAGTACACTCCATACAGATTGGCGCCGATCCTTCGGATTTATATATGTTGGCCGAGATAGTAGATCCAGGGACTGATGAGGATGAGCAGGAGGAGGGCCAGGGCGAATACGATCGTGCCACGTTTCGTGCTTTCGAGAATCTATCGCATCTCGAACTACTACTTTCGGCCACGGGAGTGTTCTACGATTCCGAAAAGGAAGATGATTTGGATGCCAAGGCTTATGGTGCAAACCCGTATGAGGTTGACTACATCGAGGAAGCCAGAGATAATTTCAACAAGACTATGGAGCGGAAGGTTCCTCGTGTACGTGTAACGTACAAGGACTTCGATGATAGTTTGGCAATGGAAAGGTTCTGGTGTATGCAGAGTCCTCGAGAGATAGGCGGTTAAATGGAAACGGCTTAAACATTGTGGCCGGTTTCTTGGAGCAATTTCGATCATCTCGTCTCCTTGGCGGATTGGAAACAGGCAAGACTAGCGAGGCATCGCAAAAAGCAACGGCGGGATTCACTTCGTCCCGCACACCGTGGCCTCATTGATGACCGCAGGACAGGTCCAGAATGTGTGCTGTTCTGGATGGTGGCGATTGGTCATGTTCTATTGTAGAGCTACCTCAAACGCAGTCTCGCCGACCTCGATGCAGTTGCCAGAAAGACTAGTTTAGTGTTCTCTCGATAGATCTGGAACGTGTCATAGATGTATGCAGTGATTGGAAAAATGTAGTCCACATGCGCGATAATGATGAGTATATCATGAGATTTCACCTCAACAAAGCATAATAAGCTATTGCTAGTGTAATTCGTACAGTTCAAAGAATTTGCTGTGCACCATGCAAGGCTTTCGCTTGGTAATCCTTGACTTTAGTCGTGAGACAGAAACAAGCTTTCGGTTTTGGACGAGAGAACACAGATGGCTGATTACTGAAGGGTTTGCAAACAACATGAGTGCGGGCAGGCCTGGAATGCTATTCTAGTCTCGCGATGGCGTTCCCTTAAGTTTCCAGAAGTATGAGTCTCACATGTGACAAGACTATAGACTTATTGTTATCCTATCGTTCGTCCGCAAGTAGGCGAGATATACGAGAAACGGACTCCAACTATTGCCTGCCACAAGACCGAGGTAGAGCAGCGCGGTAGGGCCGACGGCTTACCAGGTCACCGGACACGACATTGCAGTAGCAGCGGGAACCACAGCTGAGGCTCGTCGTATTTCCATGGGTCTAGTAGAGGCCAAGCTTTTGTGTCTTGCTGAGCGGACTTGGCAACCTGCAAGTCATTATTGAACGAGGCGACATTCTCGAACAGCATCGGTGAGACCAGAGTGGAAAAGTGCAGCAAAATTCCGATCTAGTCCTTCGCTACTGCACGCTGACAGCCTCAGCTTATCGGACTTGTGAAAATGGCGGCGCCATCGTATAGGCAGCGAAGCAACACGATGACAGCAGAGACGACATAGAATGTTTCCATGCAGTGTGAGCGGTTGTATGCCACCAAGTTGTTGGAAAGCTAATATTGGTTTGTACGAGGGAGTAGAGAGTCAGAGGCGATACGTTTGGCATGGGTCTGCTGGTGGAACAGGGACCCCGATTTAGTATCACCCTTCTCGCGTGTCCAAGTGCCGTCGCGGGGTGTCGCAGGGGTAAGCGGATGTATGTCGAATTAGCGGGTATTTTCCCCTGCTAGATATTTTCCGACGCTGTGCCATAGTCAAGCTCAGCTCGGAATCAATTGCGAAGTAAGCGTGAAGGACAGACTCCACTCTGGTATGGCGATTGCATGATCTTGCTACTGTCATTCCGCTATCGGGCCAGAGTGGGGGTCTTCTCGTTCCACTATGTTCTGATTCCAGCGTGGTGCGGCAGCTGTTCTAGACAATCGCTGCGTGGCTCTACGTGGTAAAAACATGCCATCCAGTGTTGAGGCTTGACGGTACGCGCAAGGCTACTGAAAAACTCAAGCTTTTATTGTTCTCATGTGCTTTTGATTTCTTTCTTGGGTCAACTCCAGTTCGGCGTCGCAGTTGTTTTTGCGGATTGTGACGGGAGAAGATTTGAAGCTCGTACACGTGATGGTACGACTTGACCAATAGTGAAGCTGTGTAATGGAAAGGGAAGAAATGAGCCGTGCATTCGGCATGCATTCGTTCCGCGCTGATGCTGCATTACGGGGTAGCTGAGGTTAAGCTGTGGAGAGGCGTGGTGGCTTCGAGGGCTTCGAATGACAGGCTGAGCGATCTCCACGCCAAGGCCGACGGGCGCTAGTCTAGCGCCGATCACAGCTTGGTCACAGTCCGGACCTCCCCTTCCGCAGCCTCCCTCTAGGCTTCTCTGCTTGCCATGATTTTACACACACAGCACCGGCACACTGGCGAGCAGTCCCCCGGACGCGGAACTGCTATTCCTGGACCGACTGGGCTCCCAAACAAGCCTGGCCAAGTTGACCGGTCTCTCGCGTGCCACGATGCACTAGCATTAGTGCATCACAGCTCACACGCTGGCAACAATGTTCAGCCCTAGCAGGGCGAGACTGCTATGAAAGTTTTCATGGAGGGTCTGAATCGTGTTGACCGCTCGTACCCAGCCGTCGTCTAGGCATGTAGAATGCCAACCGTAGACGAGGATCTTCCTACCTACACCTTTCCGAGTTGAGACTGTCGGTCTTCCCGAAACAGACTCTGCAACTTTTTCGTTGTTCACTTGGCCTACTGGTATCGGTCACGTGTTCGTGGAGAAGAGCAGGGAATACCTGGGGTTCTCGTGGTCGAGAAGATCCAGGTGAGTCAAAATTGAGTTCAGCATCATGTACTCGTGCACGATTCGGAGATTCTGGTCGAAATCATTCCGCACTTTTCAATGGAGTAATCACTCATGGTCTTCCTTCAACATGGTCTAGTCGTCCTACTGGCCGCCAAGTCTCATCAGCTTTCGCTCATCTCCTAGCTCTTGCTTATACCAAGCCTTTCAAGCCATGTCTAGGCATTGATCCCATATTCTCGGCCTTTCCAGGCAGCGGCTTGAAGCAGACTGCGATACGATGAATGTCGACACACTCAGACGACAGTAGCGAGAACGCCGAATGGCGTCTCATGCCGGCCCTAGACTTCACATCCCATGTTTGTGAGAATATACTTGCGACGATAAGGGATGGTGGGGTCTGCGGTATGGCTGAATACTTTGAAGTAGGCGTATTCGAGACCTTTTAGCTCATGTTTACCATGAGGTATGGATGTATAAAGTGTTCCAAGACGCCTGTGTACAACAGAGCATCAGCTTGATTCAATCATATCCGCTCATCTCCCGACCTTCATCCGCCTTCACTACGCCATGAAGAACTATCTTTCCATCGGAGTCACAGCCCTCTTGGCATCACAAGCACTTGCTGGCGACGACGATTGGCTGAGCCCAGTCTACAAGCAGATATTCCAGAACCCGCTTCCTATCCCCCAGGATAAGGCCAAATCATACACCTACCGAAACGAGACCACAGGGAATGAGATTGATTTCTACGAGGTCGATGTGAAGCCATTCACACAGCAAGTCTACCCTGGGCTGAAGCCGGCTAACCTTGTTGGGTACGATGGAGTATCACCTGGGCCTACTTTCCGCATGACCAAAGGTCGTGAAGCCATTGTTCGTTTCAAGAATCACGGCCCCAAAGATCTTTCAGTGCATCTTCATGGTTCCTATAGCCGAGCACCTTTCGATGGATGGGCTGAGGACACTACCAAGAACGGTCAATACAAAGACTACTGTGAGTACCGGCTGTCACTAGCATTATACCACATGAACGCTAATGATTATAGACTACCCTAACAAGCAGAGTGCGCGGACTTTGTGGTACCACGACCATGCAATTCATCATACTGCGGAGAACGCCTACTTCGGACAAGCGGGCTTCTACATTCTCCATGACCCTGCTGAGGATGGATTAGGGCTTCCTTCGGGCTCATACGATGTACCTCTGGCACTGGCCTCAAAGCAGTACAACAGTGACGGCACGCTTTTTGATCCGGCAAGCGAGACCGTTTCCCTCTGGGGCGATGTCATCCACGTCAACGGTCAACCATGGCCTTACCTGAAGGTGGAGCCACGCAAGTACCGCTTCAGGGTGCTCAACACAGCCATCAGCCGTGCCTTCAAGCTCACTCTCGAGGACCCTGCTGCTAAAAAGGTTCCGTTTCATGTCATCGCCGCAGACACTGGTCTCATGTCCAAGCCTGTGCAAACCGACAACCTCGAGATCTCAATGGCTGAACGCTGGGAGATCGTCGTCGACTTCAGCACATACGCCGGAAAGAACGTAACGATGAAGAATGCCCGCGACGTGCAAGCAGACGAGGACTACAACAGCACTGACAAGGTTATGCGATTCGTTGTCGGTTCCTCCGTCTCTAGCACAGCCGGCAACGGCGCTCTGCCAGGCTCTCTCCGCACAGTCCCGTTCCCACCGAAGAAGAGTGGTATCGATAGGAGCTTCAAGTTCGGACGCACCAACGGCCAATGGACAGTCAACGGCGTCACCTTTGCCGACGTCAACAACCGCATCCTCGCAAAGCCTCAGCGCGGCGCTGTCGAGGTCTGGGAGCTTGAGAACTCATCCGGCGGCTGGAGCCATCCCGTTCATATCCATCTCGTCGACTTCCAGATCCTGAGCCGCACCGGAGGTAAACGAAGCGTTCTGCCCTATGAACGAGAAGCTTTAAAGGACGTCGTCTTGCTTGGTACCAACGAAAAGGTTACAGTTATTGCTCGTTACGCCCCATACGATGGTGTATACATGTTCCACTGCCACAACCTCATCCACGAGGACCATGACATGATGGCTGCTTTCAACGTCACCAGCCTTGCCAACTTCGGCTACCCCGAGACAACCAAGTTCATCGACCCGATGGAGGAGAAGTACCGCTCCAAGGATATCAACGACCACGACGACGAGAGGGAGCACATCTATGAGAAGTGCGCTGAGCTTGAGGCTCTGGAGGCTTACACTGAACCTGAGAAGGTTGAAGAGGCGCTTGTGGAGTACTGGGCCAATGGAGGAAAGGGACCTAGCACGCTAGTCACCAGCACTCGACCAGCTTCTTCTTCATCCTCATCCTCTTCGTCTGCTACGGGCACGGTTGCTTCGTCTACGGCATCGCAGACAAACACTTCCTCTCCGACAATAACTTCAGCACCCAAAACGACTAGTACAAGTACGAAGACGGATGACAAGAAGACGTCGACATCGTCCACAAGGAGAAGATAGAAGAATTTCGAAGGTTTCATGGCGTTGCTTTTCTTTTTGTATACAATATTCCAAGGCGTTCTAGAGGCTGGTGGGACACATATCATGACGACACGACATTCCTTAGATAACGAGATCATTTCAACGATATTCTCTCCTTCACTGCACTCGCACTCTCAGCCTGCTGGTGTGAACATGTGGCCCACGTAGAAACAGTGCGACTGAAACAATCGAAAGATGCATGCTCGGCGCTGCCCTTGTCAACGACCACTAGCTTATGACTTTGGCGAAGGAAGTTGTCGATAAGCCTACACAAGGCTATCAGTAGCAACCCTCCAGAGCTCTGCTCACGATTGCACTCAAACCCCGTCGAGCGTGGAACCTGGAGACGGCGTTGAACATCCTACTCTCCTCTTTACTCCCGCCAAAGTCCCAATCCTTGTACAAATTCTCAGCAGCAGCAGGCCCCAGATTGTTTGAGTCAATGTCCTGCTCAGGGTGTCCGAATATGTCGCGGCCACTGAAAAAGTTCACTGCACTCCAATACTCGCCGATCTGGGGTTCTCTTTCTGTATTGACTAGATTCGCAATGCAGACATCGCCGGCCCAGGTCTTTTCGCCTAGCGTGGTTTTTACGGGACGCAGGTAATACTTTTGCATAACGTTGTAGACTTCGCGGAGCTGGTCCATTCTCTTCACTGGGAGACTTGGCTGTCGTTGGCGCAGCTTGATCTCGTTGGAGGTCAGGGTCAGAATTCGACAAACAACAGTTAAAGCCAAGATATGGAGATTGTTTTATCCTTTTAGGTCTTTCTCGAAAACTGGGTCTTTCCAAAACATGTCCAAGATGTCCCAGAGGATGTCGCTGCAGGAGAGGACAAGCTTCGGGGTGCGGAAGTTGAGATTGACGGCATCCGCCTCGCGCCATAGCATCATGGACCGCAAGGTCGGAACAGGGTCCCATATCTTGTCGCATTCGTGGAAATAGAGCCTATGGTACGTCCTTCCCTTGGGAGTGACCGCGTCAACTGGCCAGTTGAACAGCCGTATTCGCTCATGTTCTCGCTTTTTATCGCCGAAACTGTTCAAAAACCGACGGGTCGATTCATCGACTTCCTATGGAGTTAACGGATATTCGCGCAGATTAAAGCGATCTTCTAACACAGGGTCTAAATTAGAAGGACTCTGGATGAATCTGCTTCGCATAAGGCGTTTCCCAATCTGGCTGATCGTACGGTACGAGTGGCCTTTGATTGCATCAGTTATGCCGTACTGAATAAGTTCCCGCTGTCTCTTAGCATTCGTAATGTCCTGCGGTATTTTTCCATAGAAGAATCGTTCTAGGTCCTGTCGTTGCACGAAGAACTCCAGATCGGGGGAGTGCGGAGCACCAGAAAGCAGGTTGCGACAGATGAATCGTTCGACATGGTCCTCATCCCCAAGTTTCTCTGGACAGAGCGACCGAAGAAGAAGCAAAACCGGTAGGCACCAGACGGGAAAATTATGCGCTGGGCACTGAGGCGGACGTGAAAGACTTTGGTCGAACTCGCAGCTCTTGAGCCCGAACCAAGATTGTGCGTATAAACGATGGTATAGGTGTCTTCTGGGGACTGTCCACGATGCATTGAGCCATTGGCTCAAAGCCACGTTCGCAAACTTTATGGTTATAAGAGTCGTTGGGAGGCGTCAGCACAAAACCGCATTTCCGGGAAGCTTTCAAAAGATATCCAGCAATGTACTTGGTGTCGCGCTTGTACTCGCTGCGATTGTACTCAGCTTCTCGTGGCAAAAACATGTTGGCAGTTGCTGCCAATGTAAGTAAGATGAGAGCGCAGTGGAATAACTAAATGTTACTGTGGGTGTTCTGTGGGTGTTCACAGTTCGTCGCTACCCGTTTTTCCAAGGTTGTGGATGACACAAATGAAATAGAATGGTACAAGTAGCAACCACAAGGACGGGTTCCTAACTCTCAACGAACTAAGAAACAAGAAACTTATACCAAATGTAGATGCAATGTATGCATTGAGGATAGTGTAGTGAACGTCTTCGGATGACGCGGGTCCGCGGCGAGGATTCCAGGGCCAATGCCAAGGCGTCAGTGCAGACCGCCATGCGGAGACCCCAACCAGAGTTTCGAATTGTGAACGAATCCAACCCCTTCATAGCCAATCTACCAAAATGACGAACCTAGATATGCTGCTGCTCAAAGGAGCATCTGCGAGTAATCCAGAGGAAGGTCTCCAAGAATTGCGATACACGATCTTGACCCAGGGCATTCCCGCCAACAGCGAGGGCATGGTATGTTCTCCACACTATCCCATACGATCACATTGCGCATGGGCGCAATCTAGAATCGCTCAATGATCTCTGGATACTAATTTATACTGATTCAGTCCGAGCTGCGCATATACATCTGGCTCATCCTGCTCAACGCGCCTCCCCTCCGCACCGACGTGTACCTCGATCTCGTCCGTCAAGGCGCCTCTCCCGCGCACGCCAAAATCCAAAACGACACTTTCCGCACGTTTCAAGGCGATCCCCTCTTCCGACGACGCGTCACCCAGAATAGCATTACACGTGTGCTCAACGCTGTCGCGTGGAGGCTCAACGATGCGCACGAAGCACGCGTCAATGGCTGGCAGTCCCCACCAACACTATCCGAGTTCGGCGGTAGTCCAGATACCTCGATGATGTCGCGGCATTCTCTCACTGCGGGTACTCGTACGGAGGCGTCGACTACGAACGATGCAGAGCAGATTGGGTATGTGCAGGGCATGAATGTGCTGTGCGGACCGTTTCTGTACGCGGCGAGGAGTGAAGTCGAGGCTTTCACGGGCTTCGAACGGCTCATTACATACGAGTGTCCGGGCTATGTGAGGGGATCGATGGAGGGTGTGCACAAAGGTCTCGCGTTGGTGGATAGGGTCCTAGAGGTGGTCGACCCTAAGCTGTACGGTCATCTCATGGCACACCATATGGAAGCTAAGATCTACGCTTTCGCATCCGTACTCACAATGTGCGCATGTACACCGCCGCTGCCCGAGGTCTTACAGCTATGGGACTTCCTCTTCGCGTACGGACCACATCTGAACATTCTGTGTATTGTGGCTCAGTTGGTTCTGATTCGAGGGGATATCTTGAACAGCCCAAGGTGAGTACGCTCTACAGACACATTCGTATCAAACTGACCTGTCCATAGCCCCAATACGATTCTACGTAATCTGCCTGGTCTGAACGCTCAGAAAATTGTCGCTGTGGCTATGAGCTTTGCCAGCAAGATACCTGAGGACATGTACGCTGAGATCATCAACCACGCAAAGTGAGCGTGAGCAAAACAGGGAGGATAAGATATGACGCTGCGGTTATGATGTACGATACGACTTAACGATTAGATGATACCCACGAGAGATGGCTTGCAAATAGCAATGTATGAATGTTACGATTAGAACCCAATTCCTCTAGCTGTGGAGCTGCTGGGCACTGTGTGTATGCGAGTAAAATATGGGATGGCTGTTGCTCCGAGCACTACAACCTTCACGGAATATCAGCATCATCGTCATCCCCACCAAAGCCAAAGCTAAACCCTCCGACTTCTTCCTCCTCGTCTCCCTTCGTCAGCTGCTCCCACTTGCCTTTTCCCTTCTTCCCCTTCTTTTCCAACTCCGCGAGGCCCTCCTCCAGCAACTCGGGATGCTGTTCCTGCAGCCTTTCGACGAAGAGCTCGTATGCGCGATCACAAACATCCTCCTTGAACCCACTCACTTCCCCACGTTGGTCACGCAGAAAACCTAGTACATCAGGCAATTTCTTCCGGGGTACAAAGTTTTGCGTCAGAGCAAGGCTGTCTTCGAGATTAAGTACTAGGTGGAACCAGCCGGACGGTACGTGAAGTACTTCGCCAGCATAACAGATGCCCTCTTTGCAGCCAGGTGTTTGACGTGCAAGTTCATGGAAAGTGAGCATGTACTCTGCGATACTGAGCGGAGAGGTGATTTCGGATTGATCGTCGCTGACGATGACACCGGGTGGAGGTTCGATGCCTGGGCCGGCGGGGAACATGAGCCAGTACTTGCTGCCTGTCAATACTGCGTTCCACGCTGAAGTTGCGTTCGGATCTTTGTGGAACGTAGAGCCGCTGCGTTTGGGACCCATGATCATCCATCGGCAGTCCGGTCGGTGTTCGCCTAGGACACTGAAGAGATCGTCGCCGAAACATGTTGGACTCCAGTATGCGGCTTCCTTGGAATGTGGTACCGCTGTGATGTCTACGCCGGTCTTCTCGGCGAATGCACGATCGAAGAGGTACAGGGGCGACTCATCGGCGTTGTCATGCATGTAGGACATATACTTCTTCATGGGCCAGTCTACTGCCTCTGCGCGGAATTTTGTTTCTGGAAATTTCTCCAGGAGGTATTCTGGTGTCCAGGTACCGTATACGGGCCATTGCTTGACAGGTGTAGTGAGCACAAATGGCTTGTCTACCCAGGTTTCGGCATATTCTTCGTAAGTCAGATCTGATAGTCGAGCTACCTCATTGTGTTTTGGGATGTTGGCCGCGTAGGAATTCAGTGGCGTGTGGGCGCACTGGAATGGCCGATAAAGAGTGTCTGAGAAGAGGTTGGTGCATGGTATGGACGTGACGTGCTCCCTGGGGATCTTGAGGTAGGTTGCTCGCCATGTTCCACGCCACTCAAAGTCTTCAGCCGGGGAGCTGTGGGATTGTTAGCTTTTGTTTGCAGAGAAGTTGCGATGTTTGATATTCTCAACGCAAGCAAACGAGCGATGCATATTGAACCCGGTACAAAGCAGAAAGAATGCTCTATTCTGCTATGGAGATACATTTTCGTATATACCACGAATTAATGCATACTCAAATCAAGCAATAATCTACGACCTGATCCTGGGAGCAATCTGCAACGCCCTGAATTGATCTTGTGTCCTGCACCTCCACGGCCGGGGCGCCGTCAGGCGTGCAGGCACAGTCATACCGATCCAAGAGAGTTTACAAGGAACGCCTTCCTTCGCATACACCGCCTGACTGAACACATGACTGGAAGATGACTGGAAGTGTAGGAATGACTGTATAGGAATAAAGATGGAGGATGCAAAATGTTGTGTGTAGCAACTGTGGTACTCACCTTACGAACAAGGCCCGCCATAATTCGTCCAACCTAGTAAAGGCATACAGAGCGCGGCACGTACTCCCCAAGCGTATCAGGACGTCGGCTTCGAATGACTCAAAGATGTGGCTCAATAATTCATCGGGTAAGCTGGCGAATAGTCCGCATCTCGATTTGATATTCTCGGACGCAGTATATGCATTGCCGGCTGGCTTGATACCCAGGTGATGCGAGGGGACTGCGATTGCCGCCGCCGCCACATCATCGTCGTCGCTCTCGACTTCTGTCGCCACAGAAGTCTTGACTCTTTTCGAAGGTCGTGATTCGACAGTGGCGATGCCGGGGTGGTCCAGGATGCCTGGCGCCATGTCAAAGATGGACAGGGCACGATGCTTGGTGTTTGCTCAACACAGACGTTTCCACGGCTGCAAATAAACTAGGAGGCAAACCAAGGGTGAGTAAGAAGAGTCATAGGCTGACACTGGAACGAGCCAGTGGAAGTGAAGGCGGACCTAGGTGGGAGCCGTGGGCGCATTTGAACTAGCGTGCTTTTGGCACTAGCACACTGCTGAGATTTTTTGTGGCCGACCTCTTAAGCCAAAAAGCGCCCACCTTCTCTGTCCCTCCATCACCAAATCCACCACACAACCAATACACACACTACCCTAGATACCCATTTGATTCTCTTGCAGAGGATCTGGTATCTAGTTTTTACTACACAACTTTTACACACGCGGCGGCATCCAGAGGATCCTCCGCTTTAACCCCGCCACGAGCAACACTTCGACTACGGTCCCGCACCAGTAGTCGCTCCTCCCAGTCGCAATCATGGCTGACAAAGGTCTTGAGGACGTGCCCGAGGGTGAGTTCTTCTCCGAGTGCTGTCCCCCCGCTCCTCGAAACTGCGCACCCCGCAGTGCGAGGGCGGCGGCGACGATAGCCTCACCTGCAAACAATTCTGCGAGCCTAGGCTAACCCACGCGCAGGTCAGATCGAGTCCAACTACGATGAGATCACCGACTCGTTCGACAACATGAACCTGAAGGCTGAGCTCCTCCGTGGAGTCTACGCCTACGGTTTCGAGCGCCCCTCTGCTATCCAGCAGCGCGCCATCATGCCCGTCATCAAGGGTACGTTTGCCCACCCCCACCACCGCACAACCCAACAAGCGACTGACATATTTTAGGCAACGATGTTATCGCCCAGGCCCAGTCCGGTACCGGTAAGACGGCTACCTTCTCCATCTCTACTCTCCAGAAGATCGACTCCAACGTCAAGGCCTGCCAGGCGCTGATCCTCGCCCCCACCCGTGAGCTCGCTCAGCAGATTCAGAAGGTCGTTGTCGCCATCGGTGACTTCATGGACGTCCAGTGCCACGCCTGCATTGGCGGTACCAGCGTCCGTGACGACATGAAGGCCCTCCAGGACGGCCCCCAGGTCGTTGTTGGCACTCCCGGCCGTGTCCACGACATGATCCAGCGTCGTGTCCTAAAGACCGACCACATGAAGATGTTCGTCCTCGACGAGGCCGATGAGATGTTGTCTCGCGGTTTCACCGAGCAGATCTACGACATCTTCCAGCTGCTCCCTCAGTCCACCCAGGTCGTTCTCCTCTCCGCCACCATGCCCCAGGACGTTCTCGAGGTCACCACCAAGTTCATGCGCGACCCCGTCCGTATCCTCGTCAAGAAGGACGAGCTTACCCTCGAAGGTATCAAGCAGTTCTACATTGCTGTCGAGAAGGAGGACTGGAAGCTCGATACTCTGTCCGACTTGTACGAGACCGTTACCATCACTCAAGCTGTCATCTTCTGCAACACCCGCAGGAAGGTCGATTGGCTCACCGACAAGCTCACTGCCCGTGACTTCACGGTCTCGGCCATGCACGGTGACATGGACCAGGCCCAGCGTGATGTCATCATGAAGGAGTTCCGTTCCGGATCTTCTCGTGTCCTCATTGCCACTGACCTTCTGGCCCGTGGTATCGATGTCCAGCAGGTCTCCCTGGTCATCAACTACGACTTGCCCGCCAACCGCGAGAACTACATCCACCGCATCGGTCGTGGTGGACGTTTCGGACGTAAGGGTGTTGCCATCAACTTCGTCACCGCCGACGATGTCCGCATGATGCGCGAAATCGAGCAGTTCTACAGCACACAGATCGAGGAGATGCCCATGAACGTGGCTGGTAAGTGTTTAATCAATCTTTGTACCTCAAGCCTGATTGCTAACGTCTTGACAGACCTCATCTAAGAAGTGGTGCTCTGCTATCTTCTCATCGCCGCCTCACTCTGCCCACTAACGCTTCAGCGGTGCATTGGATAGAGGCGGTGGTCTTCTAATACGAGCTCCCTGCACGGCCAGGGGTGCTCTCTGTTTGGTCCGGTTCAAAAGTGGTTCGAGGTAGGACGAGTAATCGTCTATACATCGCGGCATCTTGGCGTTGGTCTCTCATGTGCGAAATGATTTCCCTAAAAGAATGTCTGCATATGATAGACTTACGGTGCGTAGTTGACGGATGGGTCCTGTTTTGCAATTTCATGCTACTTTCCTATGTCCTCAAGGATCTGCTGCACGTCGTCAACGCATGCTCACGCGGTGGGATATGTAGCACTTCACCATGGCCACGCATGTCGATGATAACGATCGGGAGTTTCCTTTCATATAGAGATGCGATTCAATTGCATGGAAGTTACTTAACTTGCTGTTTGCCATACTACTCAGTGATATGACGATTGTCTATGTCGACTAACCGCTGACGTTACCATCTCCACATGGCATCTATTTAAGGTGCGGGAGATTCTGGGGCTGCCACGAGGCTCTTGCATGCCGCCTATCGATAACCTCGGTCCATGACCCCACTGAGCTTCACGCTCCCGACGCACGCGCATCTCATGAGACCGACAACATGGCTCGCCCAAAGCAAAGCCATTGCGACAATGGCGCTTTCCCCAAGATCTGTTGTAAGTCGGTAGTATTCTCATCCTATACGATTGCGCTCCAAAAGGCCCTGCATCATGCTAACACGCTCAACAGCGCGCATTGGACCGACTCCGAACATACTCTCCTCCGCCGACGCAATGGTATAATTGCCCCCTTACGAGACGCGCGGCGGTCCTCATATTGCTCTTTCCGGACCGGCATGGCGAGCTCAAGGTGGTCCTCACGATGCGCAGCGCGCAGTTACGCAACTATGCGGGACAGGCTGCGCTGCCCGGAGGTACTGGATCACACACTCAGAGACCGAGTTGGACGTGCATGCTGACACGGTTCAGGCAAAGCAGATACACTCGAAGAGTCCCCGTGGGACGTTGCACGACGCGAAGCGGACGAAGAGATCGGGTTGCCTATGAATGAGGAGAAGCTTCGAGGATTCACTGTGGAGCACCTTTGCGAACTCCCTGCAAATCTCGCAAAGACTGAGCTTGGAGTACGGCCTTGTGTCGCATTCCTGCGTCCGGCAGAGACATCCTCCGACGTGCCCACGTCCTCTGACACGAACAGTCTCTCTGTAGAAGAGAGGCTCATGCCGCGACTTGATCCTAGGGAAGTCGCAGCGGTCTTCACGGCGCCGTTTCACAACTTCCTGCGCAAAGGGTGGGAGGGCGAAGGCCCGCCGCCAGTGCAGAAAGACGGTAGACCCGAAAAGTGGTATCGAGGCTCTTGGACAGACTGGCACGAGTCACGCTGGCGAATGCACAATTTCTACATGCCGCGACCTCCTCCACCTCCGACACTACTACGTAGTTCCTCGCGGTCCTCTCCGCCATCCACACCAGAACCTTCGTCGCATCAAACTTTACCAGATGGAGATGACCCTCGTCCGGAGCCAAGCGCAATCGACAGCCTTACCACGTTCAGAGTTTTTGGTATGACGGCAAGAATACTAGTCGATGCGGCCCGAGTAGCATATGGCGAAGAGCCAGAGTTTGAGCACAACAGCCATCACGGCGATGAGGAGATGATAGGGAGGTTGCTGAAGATGGGTAGGCTCAGTGAAGTGAGGAGGGAAGGCGAGGTACTTACGCGCGAGCTACTGAAAGAAGCCAGTAAGATATAAAAGATCAGAGAGGGTGAAGTCAACCAGACAATACTACCGTTGTACGCCACGTTGCCTCACATGTTACGGGGGAGCCATGGTATAGGCAACCGCTACACTTTAACACTGACATGAAGTACCCACACTCTTCATTTATGCCTGTTTTGTCTTTTGAAGCCAAGGTCGCCATGTGGGCCTCGCCACCTGCTTTCAAAGATACGAGGCGACAAGGCACGTTGGGCGTAGGGAAGGGTACCCAAGCACAGCTGCACGATCCATCTGTGATACGATAAGATTCTAGACATGGGCATCGTCGGGAACGGTGATGACATAGTATTACCACGGTGCTTCGGGTGATCTCGGGCATTTTCTTCTCAACCCGAGACCTCAGCGGCGTTACTTCAATGAGAGGATTCTACAGCACATGCGAAAGCCAACCACACCAAGAAGCACTTCTATGCATGAAACTGCGCCTCTGCAGCATAGCTGTCGGAAAAGCAATCAGTGAACAACGCCTTTAAACGCTGCGAAATTAGGAGCCAGCGTAATTTCTGTACAACCAGTGACGACACAGATGCATCTGCTCGGCGAACTCTTGTCTCTTCCGCAGTGCTCCGCGACGCGCCGTCCTGTCCGCCCGCGAGCAACGGAGTGCATTTTGTGATCATAGCGATGTTGACATGTGAAAAGCACAACGATGGTCCTTGGCAGTGCACGGCGCAGCCCGCTTTTTAGCGTTCAGCCTCATGCCCAGGTGTAGATCATCATCATCCGGCAGCTCTTGCCCCGTTGACCATCTTCACATGCCCTTGTTCCTTCCTTGTCTCCGATCATTCATAATTTGCATCGTCTTTGGGCTCTGCGTGTCATCGGCGCGCGCACTGCCTTGAACACTGGATCACGGTCCGATTGGTCGACTCAAGTCGGATTTGAAAAAGACGTTGAATGCACCGCCCACGCCCAGAGAGCAACTCATCATTACAGACCCACCGTACGCGACGCAGTGCGTGTTAACCACTCATAACGAAGACAAGCCGGAGTGGAATTTTGCAGGTCTACATCTAATTGACTACTACTCACCCTCCACGAGCAACTTCCGGGCTTGTACGCGCTCACCTCGCGGCGGCATCAACTATATGGGCAGGCTTCTGGAACGCACGTGGGGACTCGGCGCTTTTTCAAGAATGACGATAAGTCAAGATAGGCTTTTTTGCCTAAGGCTTAGCCTTGGCCGAAGCAGAGTCAAACACCAGAGTGGATCTGGGCGAGGTTTCTGGCATTGTTGAGACGACTTCGAGCTTCTACCCGATGATCTTGGCCCGACAAGCGCTTCGCACACACGCAAGCAATCAGAGCCGCCAGTGTCAAACTTCCCTCAACCTTATTTGCGTTCTAGTATGCGGCTGTGGCTTCATCGGGCTGCGAAACGGTGCCCCTTGTTTTGTTGCGTCTTGCGCGGGATGCTTGGCAGCGAAGCCGACGCAACGGGCTCCGCTTTAAGCGTTTCGTCATCCGTTTCGACGCCCCTTTTTGGCACCACGAATCACCGTTCCTCGACAGCTTGAGCCGCATTTTATTTTCTGGCTGCCCAGTCCATGTTCCGCGCTTAGCATGCCCTAGTCAAGTCGGAGGAATCCGGACCGCACCATCGCATGGTGATCCAAATTGGAGACCGCCATACCAGCCGCCTAGGGGTTCTCTCAGGTCGAAGGGACTCTCCCTGCATTGCGGCGCGAAGCCGACGCCCGCGTCACAGCTATTCGGTCCTGCTGCCCTGAAAGCGATGCGTCAGGTTCGCTCTAGGGCCAAATATGACAGGTAAGATGTCTTTGTATGACGGACATGAAGTAAGGAAGGATCCCCCAGCACTGTCAATCTGAGTGGACAACTGCAATATGGCGATTACGTGAATGCAGTGCACGAATACTATCCATCATACACTGAGTTATCCACAGGGTACGCAAGCAGCATAGCCACGATGCAGATCAAGGAAGGCGATAAGCATTCGTCTTGAATGTACTAAGCGACGGAAGCTAGCTCAACATCTTGGCGCATCGTGCACTGCCAAGGTGGAGTTACCACTCCTGGAACTAGATGAAGCGAAGACGACTTCAGGTCGTTATCTAGAAGCACGTGCGTTGGCCGCTGCCCGGAGCTTATTCGACGCTTTGATGTGGATACCAGGAGGATGTACGCAACACATCCTCCTCGCCAAGCACTCTGAGATCCCACCATGACTCCGTGGAGCTTCATTGACTAGCTGCCAGAGCTATTTGCGCTAGATTGGCACGCAGTTCGAAACAGGACCGATACCAGAAAGGCAGACCCATGTTGATCCCGCTCGGCGCGTGTTAATACAGTGGTCTATTCCCGAGCATCGCCTCTTGGGTTTCTATCAAATTGCCCCGTGCAGGTCAATACTTGTCCCTATTGCGCGTTTTGTGGTCATAGTTTCTTTGGTTTCTTTCCTTTATCTCCCGTCTATTCCGTCTCTTAGTCTCTACGGTGCAGGACACCTATTCTCTCATTTCAGCAATGGATACTCGCTACCAACCAGAAGGCCTGTCCTTTGGCACAAAAGACACCTTCAGCCCTAATTTCGAGAACAACGGACAATTCCCTCTCCCACCAAACCAGCAACAACCTCAGTATGCACCTCCACCTCAGCCTCAGCATATGAATCAGCAGTACGGTCTGCCTTCCGGACCTCGTATGCAAACTCCTCAGCAGCAAGGGCAGTATGGTCTACCATCTGGACCCCGTCAACATTCTCCTCAAACAAGTCGGGATGTGAACAACTACTCCCGTCTGTCCAACCCTCAGCAGCAACAGCAAATGCCAGAGCAACAACAACAGCTACCGCCAAACCAATACCAGCCGCAACCCCAGGTCGCATCTCAACAGAACCAGTTCTCATTCGAGTCTGGCGAGACTACTCGCACCAACACATGGGCAGCCAACTCACCGGCAGCAACACCAGCGCCCATGTACGCATCTAACGGAGGAGGCTACTTCCCGGGCCCGGTTGATGCTAACGGATACCGCATCGACACGAAGGAGAGGCAGCCAGAGCCGGAGAACCCTTTCAGAGACCCAGCTCTCCAGTCACCACCTCAGATGGACGAGATCGATCTCGAGAAGCACAAGCATGGCGATGGCCATTCGGAATGGGACAAGCACACCAAGATCCCCGGCAGGAAGGATCCCAACCAGCCATATCTCACTTTCGGACAACGACTCAAGCACTACACATGGGCGAACTACACCCTGACAATGGCTACTGGTGGTCTCGGCACGCTTATCGCCATTCAGCCGCACGCTTTCCCCGGTCTCATCACCATCGGCGCCGTTTTCTACATCCTCAACCTCATGCTGTTCACTGCTGTCACAATGACAATGGTCCTCCGCTTCACCAAGTACGCTGGATCCTTCAAGGAATCCATCAAACACGAACGTGAAGGACTCTTCCTCGGGCCATTCTTCCTATCGATCGCTACAATCATCACCGGAACGCAGAAATACGTCATAGAAGCGTACGAAGAGGATCACCCGAATCGTGCGTGGGCAATCACTACTATGGCGGTCGCTTTCTGGGCATACACCTTCATCACTTTCTGCTTGGCTTCCTTCCAATACTCGTTCCTGTTCTGCAGCCACACCTACAAGCTCACCAGCTTCATGCCCTCGTGGCTGCTCCCCATCTTCCCTATCATGCTTGCGGGTACAATCGCCTCGGTCATTGCCAAATCACAGCCCGTATCGTCCAGAATGCCAATCCTGGTTGCCGGACTTGGATGTCAGGGTCTTGGATTCACGGTTGCTATTCTCATGTACGCGCACTACATTGGTCGTCTCATGCAGGTCGGATACCCCGATCGGGAGCATCGAGGAGCCATGTTTATCGCTGTCGGACCGCCTTCTTTCACGTGCTTGGCCCTGATTGGTATGGCCAACGCTCTTCCCGACGACTTCGACTTGCAGGGTGACGGTCTTGTCGACGCGAAGTTGCTCAGGACTCTGGCTCTCATCGTCGCACTCTTCCTTTGGGTATTGGCTATGTGGTTCTTCATGATCACTCTTGTCGCCGTAAGTTCGCCACCATGCCTCGTTCTTTAACGATACTAACATCACTTCCAGGTCATCAACTCGTGGGCTGTCTACTTCCATCTCGGATGGTGGGCCATGGTCTTCCCCAACACCGGATTCGTCATCGCCACTATTTCCATCGGCAACGCGTTGAAAGATGAAACGGTGCTCTTCGTGGGGAACGGCCTCACCATCGCCATCATTACGATGTGGTGCTTCGTCCTATTCAAGCATATCCAGGCCATCTATGTCGCCGACATCATCTACCCCGGCATGGACGAAGATATTGCAGACCACTAAACGCCAAACACAGTAATCTCAGCACCGTCGCTCCCCGCCAGGCGATCCCTGCTTTCGACTTTGCTTTTAACGGCGTTTCTCTTCGGTTTACGTTTCTCTCACTCGTTATACCACCACGCATACGCCTGTCGTGAGTCAAAAGCCTCACGCTCCTTTTATACCCCCAATGTTTCCGCCATCGCTTCTCCGTACCTTCTCCGAAGCCGCCAGCAGGTCTACAGGCTTCTTTCTTTAGACACCACACTCTCCATCCATTCCAACACTAGACCTAGGGCGCGCCAACAGACACTTGTAATGCACACACACACCATCACTCTTTGTACTCCCCGAGTTGTATCCATTTTACTCTATCCATCGGCTTTTGCATAGCGTCGGCGTCATAAAAAATCGGGAAGGGGCAACAGATACCACGGGCAATTCTTTCTTATACATACTTCATTTTCTCGACACGAAGTTTGCGCTGCACTGCACTTTGATGGGGCTGAAGGACGGGACGATAGTGAAATAGCTAAGACCGTTCCGATAGTCGTAGATAGTTCCACAAACAATGTTCGAATGCATGCGCGCGTTTGTTGCTCTTTCCCACCATATTATCGTGTTTTCCTCATCGCTTCCAAGGTTTCCTCCGTTCCCGCCAGCTTCACTACTTCACAGCCAAATTGCGATCGGCCAGCTAACTATCCAGGTAACTTCCCGTCCTCAGGCAACTATCCATCGCTACCTCCACCACCAAAGAAACGTATCCTCACCACATCTTCCGCAACAGTTTGGTTTAGACTTGTCCGCTCCAAGACATCGCACCAAACAATTCTCCTGCCTCCCATACGGCAGATAATACAGTAAATGAAACACCTCAACAGTCTCACATGCTAGTGGCCGCGCCAGCGCGTCCCTCTCCGAATCGCCAGGAAAGCTTGGCTGGCTTGGCGAAATTTCATGCATCTGCACTGGAACACGACGACAGCAGATTCCCGCATTGGCCCGTGCGTTTGGCGCTCTGATAAGCGTTCTTTGGTTTGATGCATGCACGGAAGCCAAGGCGGGCTTGGTAGCGTGGCAGAATGCAGAATGGAATCATGTGCATGTACTTGGTATACGGATTGGGGAGGCGGGATTTGAAGTGAGGATTTGTATGGAAGGGCTTGGGGATGTGTGATCGACGTTGTGATGTGGTCGAGACACGAAAATGAATCGGAAGGGGAATGGGGCTGAGACTTTCTGTGTGGGGTGGCGGAAATGCGTGCATGGGCTTTGGTGCTGCGTGTGCGGTTGCCCTGGGGCAGTCAGTGTGACGGGAGGGTATTCGCATACGTATGCCCGGATAGCAAGCGAAGCGGACTTGGCGAGTAGATACCGCGCGTGGAGACGGGATGATGATGTGGTGGAGTACGTTCTCTGACAGTGCAGTGGAGAGCGAAAGATGGAGTTTTGGGGAGAATTAGATGGGGAAGGTGGAGATGTAGATCAGTGTATGCGTGTTGTATGGTACGCGTGAAGCTGGCGGGCGCTTCAAGCATGTTTGACGCGTAATGTTGTAGCGCGGAAGGTGGGAAGGTGGGAAGGTGGGAATTTGGACGTCATTGACATCGCCCCAAGGGGATTCATCTTCTCTACAGCGTACTCTTGGGCGCTTCTTTGTCCTTCATCGAGCGGACTAGCCGGAGGGCTTCGTTGAGTCCTCGTTTGGTGTTTTCAAAGTAGACGTGGGAGAAGGAACTGCTGGCCTGGCCGCTTATGGTTCGCGCTTGAATGCCGTGGCTTATCACACTTCCCTAATACTTGTGTTAGCTGATGCTGTTCTCTGGATCATCGTCCTCGTATCTGAATGATACGTTCATCCAGTTCTCCGCCACGCGACAACCAAGGAATGATGGAGATCAAAAACTCACCCTCATCAAATGAAAAACCCTCGCAACATCCCACCGATCCTGCCTCGGATCCCACCCCGCCTTCTTTTCATAAACCTCCAATAACTCCTCCATACTCGGCAACCCATTCTGCGCCTGATTCTCCTCATCATACACATCCCCTCCCTGATCATCCCTCACTGTCTGCACCGTCGGCCCCCCAGGAATGCCCACCTTACTAGCCCGATTCCAATACGGACCAGTCACATACACAACATCCATAAGCGGATGTCCCAGCGTACTCAACTCCCAATCTAAGATAGCAATTACGCGTGGTTCAGTAGGATGCAAAATGATGTTGTCGAATTTGTAGTCGCCGTGGATGATACAAGTGCGTTCCTGGGGGAGGTGACTTCGTATGTAGGACACGATTTCGTCGAAATGCGGGTGTGCGCGGCCGAGTTGCTGGCCCGTGGTGATGTCGCGGACCTGAGCTTGCTGGGCTTCGATGCGGGAGAAGGTGTTGCAGTGGCGGGCGTAGAAATTGGTTTTCTTACCAAAGGAGGAGAGGCCGATGGCGTCCGGATCGATGGAGTGAAGCCATGCTAGGGTTGAGATGACGGATTGCCAGGCTGCGCGACGGTCGGAGAGGGGCAGGGTGGACAGATTGGGGTCGGTTATTATACGGCCTTGGATGTATTCCATGACCTGGTGGAGAGGGAGGTGTTAGATGAAATAGGGTCCTTCAAAGGGTAATGTAACACTCACGTAGAAAGCTGTTCCGATGATTGATGCATCCATACATAGACAGAATACTTTTGGAACTGGGAAACCTTCAACTGTTCCGAGTGCTTTCAACACTTTGTACTCTCGATCGACTTGGTGTGCTACAGGCGAAATGATGGTGCCGCTGGGTTTCTTTCGGAGTATGTAGCGCGTGCCAGCGGCATCATCGACATAGTAAGTCGGATTGCTTTGTCCGTATCCGATCTTTGTGGATAGCACGGGCGTCTTCAAATTGGATATCTCTTGCTGCAGGTACTGACCAAGCTTTTGGTCGTCCAGATCATGTTGCGTCTTCTCTTTCTGTGTATTGGCCATTGCGGAGTGTGCTTTTCCGGATTCCTCCAGTTCCAACTATCGCGTCGCATATAAGTAGATACGTAAAACCCATGATGCTGCTAGAGGCGCGCGTTGAGACCGTGGTCGTGTTCGAGTAAGCTGCGTCGATCCAAAGGTTAGCCTCGGGCAATCGCGTGTGAGGGGTTCTGGAAACAAGCTAGTCCTTGCGGGGTGGACTGCGCAGTACAGCAAGATGTGATAACTACCAGCAACATGAACACCGTCAGGGTTAGAAGGAAGCTATAGTCTAGCAATGAAGCTGAATTGACATAATCTCTACGCTAAATTATCGCGCAAAAGGAGTATCAACTATACTCTGGGTATCCCAAGAAAAGCTATACAAAAGCCCGACTATAACGCCAAGGACTGACGGGAACAGCATCAACACCATCGACCGACCGTCTTCCACTGTTCTACAACTTCGGTACAAGAATTAAAACCCTTCCACATGGCGCCTCATGTCTAGATATAACTTTTCCAGCCAAAGGCTCATTACGGGTTCTCACGTCGACTCCTCGCTTCCTTCGCTGCTGAAGTAACTTTGATCTAACCGCAATATCCACTCAATCTTCTCCCTCTCGCTTCGCGCTCGGAAGATGTACGTGTTGCTCCTGGCGAAGACAGCAAAGACAACGTCCCTGTGCGCGCCGCCATTTCCTTGTCCGTTGCTTTGCTGTGCGCCTCCAAGTAGTTTCGCGATTTGAGGCGAATGGTCGATACGCGCAGTACTGACATTGATGGCGTTGATCTCATCACCGTCTGATGAGTAGATGTGGAGGTATGGCTTCCGTAGTTCGACGTATCGTCGTATCCAACGCGTGTTCGTCGGGTCTGGGGTGAGGAGGTAGGACGCTTTCATTAAGTTGGGGTTCTTGCTAACGAAGCGGACGGTAGCTGTCAAGCTGGGCGTTGGGTTTGGCGATGGAGAAGGAGAGCGTGTCGCGAAGGCGGCGCCATTGGTGGGAGGCTCAAGATTGGTGGGGTTGAGGATGATTTCTGCAGGCGCTTTCTTGGTTTTCCAGAGCGAGACCATGCGCTGGAGGAGTGCTATTTGTGCGTCTTCGAGAGGCTTGTCTTTTGAGGAAGCCAGTGCGGAAGCGGGTATGCTCAGTGCCTTTGACGACAAGACAGAACGCGCTGTTTCTATCTCTGCGATTCGAGCACGACGCTTTTCTATGTGAATGAAGTCGCGCACTAGGGAAACACCGCGTGGTGTCCAGCCCGCGAGCTGTTCTTCGCCCTTTACGTAGTCGTCTTTCGTGTTCATTCGCCACAGATCTGTCGCACGCTTGACAGACGTCGGACGGATCGCAACGTTGAAGATTCCTACTGTCGAGTGAACGACCTTCACCGTATTCCAGATATTGGCTAACGAGAAGAGAGAGGTCTGGCGCATGTAAGAACGGCCCCGAATTTGTACGAAGAGGTCGAAGGAGAACGACATCGGTTCGATAAGCTTGGAGGATGTGACGTCGAACAGCAGCGTGACTTTGACGCGGAAGTTGTCTTTTGTCGCCCGATCGAGAATTTGCGACGCATGTGCCGTACTGTCCCATCGCCCTACGAATTTGACATTTGTGGTTCCATCGGCGTTCTTCCTGATGACCGGTGGGGATGTCAGATCGACGGGTACTTCTTTTACGGGTGACCCGTAGTTTGGACTGTTACCAGCTGCATCGACCAAGCGAATGTGACCCATACGCAGTGACTTTACATTCTCCCATTGTATTGTGTCTCCGGAAGTATGTGTGAGGTTGACAACGATGCGGCGCGCTAGACCCTGGTGCAGTTGGTATACCCCAGCGTCCATAACGTTGCTCTGCGTTACCTCGACGGGTTGATATGTCCCGTCGTCCGTAATCTCTTGAATCTGGATACGGGAGAAGATGTCGTGTGTATCCTCTGTGTAGAATTCCGACTCCGGTAATCGTGCGTGACGGCGCTTCTGCTTGGGCTTTTCTGCAGAGTCGCGCATGTCATCCCAGCTCAACAATTTATCGAGGTGAATGTCCGTAACCTTGGCGAAGATGGAGATTCGAAGGAAAGTGTCTCGCGGGCTCGGGTAAGGAAGACTCATGCTGTGTACACTCTCGAAGCGGATAGGGCCTTCGTTAAAATCGGTAATCCAGGTCGTGGTCGTGGCTCCACTTTCGTCGGAGATACCAGGTACAAAGAGCACAGCATGAACTTGAGTGCCTTCTCGTTCCGGGAAACCAACTAGCTCGTGCATGCCGACGTTGAACTTCAGCGTAGTGGAGGGTGCCTCTGCAGACGAAGGCTCCAGCGATAGTCGGATGATACCGATGGGA